AGAGAGACACAGTGAGAGAGGGAACACAAGCAGGGGGAGTGGGAGAGGGAGAAGCAGGCTTCCTGCTGAGCAGGGAGCCCGATGCGGGGCTCAATCGCAGGACCGGAGCCGAAGGCAGATGCTTAACAACTGAGCCACCCACGTGCCCCCGGCCTCTCTGCTTTATATCCTATTTATATCTTATACAAAAGCTGCCATTTCACACAGAAATAGTTAATATATACAAATAAGTTTACTCTGCTGTTTATAGTCATTTGACTGGGTAAACTGACAACACTGTAGAATGTAAAACTTTCTTTAACAGTAAAGTCTATGTGTTGTACTTTGTAGATAAAAATGATAAACTAATTCATCATTTTTACAGGCACAGCTCCAGACCACCATAATAAAGCATATATCGCAATAAAGTGAGTTAAATTACTTTTTTGGGTTCCTGTGCATATAAAAGTTATGTTTACATTATCCCATACAATAGTATTATGTCTAAAAAAACAACATATATGCCTTAATTAAAAATCCTTTATTGCTAAAAGATGCTAACCATCATCTGAGCTTTCAGTAAGTGGTAATCTTTTTGCTGGTAGAGGGTCTTGCCTTGATTCTGATGGCTGCTGACTGATCAGGATGGTGGTTGCTGAACATAGGGGGTGGCTGTGGCAATTTCTTAAAATAAGGCAACAATGAAGTTTGCCACACTGATTGACTATTCCTTTCACAAGTGATTTCTCTGTTCCATGTGATGCTATTTGATAGCATTTTACCTACAGAACTTCTTTCAAAACTGGAGTCCACCCTCTCAAACCCTGCCACTGCTTTATCAACTAAGTTCATGAAATATTCTAAATCATTTGTTATCATTTCAACAGTCTTCACAGCATCTTCATCAGGAGTAGATTCCATCTCAAGAAGGAAAGAAGGTACTCATCATCCAGTACAGTTTTACCCTGAGATTGCGGCAAGTCAGTCACGTCTTCAGGCCCCACTTCTCATTCTAGTTTTCTTGCTATTCCCACAACATCTGCAGTTACTTCCTCCACTGAAGTCTTGGACCCCTCAAAATCATCCTTGAAGGTGAGAATCAACTTCTTCCAGACTTCTCTGTTAGTGATAATATTTTGACTTCTTCCCATGAATCATCAATGTTCTTAGTGACATCTAGAATGGTAAATCCTTTCCAGAAAGTTTCCAATTTAGTTTGCCTAGATCCATCAGAGGAATCACTATCTACAGCAGCAATCGCCTTACAAAATGTTATTTCTAAAATAATTAGACTTGAAAGTTGAAATGACATCTTGGTCCATGGCTGCAGAGTGGATGTAGTGGCGAGCAGGCATGAAAACAACATTAATCTCATTGTACATCTCCAGCAGAGCTCGTGGGTGGCCAGGTGCACTGTCAATGAGCTGTCATATTTTGAAAGGAATCTTTTTTTTCTGAGCAGTAGGTCCTAACAGTGGGCTTAAAATATTCAGTAAACTATGTTGCAAACAGATGTGCTGTCATCTGGGTATTGTTGTCCCATTTACAGAGCACAGGCAGAGTAGATTTAGCATAATTCTTAAGGGCCCTAAGATTTTCAGAATGGTCAATGAGCACTGGTTTCAGCTTCAAGTCACCGGCTGCAATAACTCCTAACAAGAGTGTCAACCTGTCCTTTGAAGCTTTGAAGCCAGGCATTGACTTCTCCTCTCTAGCTATGAAAATCCTAGATGGCTCTTTTTCCAATACAAGGCTGTTTTGCCTATATTGAAAATCTTTTTTTAGTGTATAGCCACCTTCAGAAGCTAGATCTTCTGGATAACTTGCTGCATCACCTTGTACTTTTATGTTACAGTGAAGGCTTCTTTCCTTAAACCTCATGAACCAACCTCTGCTAGCTTCAAATTTTTCTTTGGAAACTTCCTCATCTCTCTCAGCCTTCATAGAATTACAGACTCAGGACCTTGTTCTGGATAAGGGAATGCTGTGGCTGGTCTGATTTTCTATTCAGACCACTAAAACTTTCTCCATATTGGCAATAAGGCTGTTTTGCTTTCAATCATTCATGTGTTCACTAGAGTAGCACTTCTAATTTCCTTCAAGAACTTTCCCTTTGCATTCACAACTTGGCTAACTGTTTGGCAGAAGAGGCCTAGCTTTCAGCCTATCTTGGCTTTTGGCATGCCTTCCTCACTAAGTTTAATCATTTCTAGCTTTTGATTTAATGTGACAGACATGCAACTCTTATTTTCACTTGAACACTAAGAGGCCATTACAGGATTATTAACTGACCTAATTTCAAGATTATTATGTTTCAGAAGACAGGGAGGCTCAAGGAGAGGGAGAGATGGGGAATGGCCGGTCAGTGGAACAGTCAGAACACACACAACATTTATGAATTACGTTTACCATTTTAGGGGCGCCTGGGTGGCTCAGTCATTAAACATCTGCCTTCGGCTCAGGTCATGATCCTAGGGTCCTGGGATCGAGCCCCGCATCAGGCTCCCTGCTCAGCGGGAAGCCTGCTTCTCCCTCTCCCACTCCCCCTGCTTGTGTTCCCTCTCTATGTCTCTGTCAAATAAATAAAATCTTAAAAAAAAAAAAAAAAGCTTACCATTTTACATGGGTAGGGTTCATGGCACCCCAAGACAATTACAATAGTAAACATCAAAGATCACTGATTATAGATCACTATACAAATAAAACAATAAGAAAAAAGTTTGAAATATTTCAAAAATTATCAAAATGTAACACAGAGACACAGAGACAGGGAAAATGGTGCTGATGGACTCGCTCAATGCAGGATTGCCACAAACCTTTAATTTGTAAAAAAATGCAGTATCTGCAAAGTGCAATAAAGCAATGTGCAATGAAATGACGTATGCCTGTTTTAATCTACGTGTGGCTTCATTTATGTCTTCAGAGGTAGTGATTATTTTGCATTAGGCTCTAACTTCTCCCTGAGAGCAATAGAATCTTCTGATATATAGTTGGTTGGGGTTAAGGGTGCAATCTGTGGTAAACCTAGTCATTCCTTCTAAGGCCTTATGAATGGATACCCTAAGGAAATCATTCACTGACCATAGATAGAATGGAGCCAATAATCTTCAGTGATTTTGTTCCATAGCATATTAACATATGATATTACAGCCCTTAAGCCCTTGAGAGATACATTACCTAGCTGGACAGTTCCTTCTTGTCAACAAATTAGCTATAGGATTTACATAATTTGAACCATAAGCAGTTCTATACACCAAATGAATCACAGCAGGAACAGTAAATCTGTTCAATAATAAACAAACCTAAAACTCTAATGAAGTACGTCCATCCAGAAGGGAGGAAACACACACACACACTGTCCTCATCAGTCAATTTCACTGCATTTCTCAGGATGTACTAAAATAATATTCTAGGGACCACCCATACTCATTTACAATACCCTCAAAGCTACAATAAGTGAAGATAAAGACTAAATGAGAGAAGAATTAACCCACAGAACTCAGAAAGATGATTACCTGGTAGTCTGGTTTTGTAAAATAATCCAAAGAGGAGATGTGATCCAAAAAGATGCTGAATTCTGGAGGGAGATGTTTCAACATAAGCCTGTGGTCATACCTCTCCTTAATAGAACCTACTTGCTCCTGGGAAGTAAAGAGAACAGGAACAAAGTCAATTTCTCTTGGCAGCTACACATTAACAGCCTCTCAGTAACAGTCTCAAGGGTATGTACTAGGGAATGAGATAGTGAGTAATTAAGTATAAAGCAAGAACTGAGCTCTTACTAATAGCTTAATGCACACTGCTTTATGGAGGGAAGGAAGATTATAATGAATAACAAAAATGGAAACAAAGAGTTCTGCATCAGTGAACTGACAGTCTGCCAAAATAAAGAGCTGATCTTAAATCTAGCCTACTTTTCTTTGTCAACACACGTTTACAGTTTTCAAAGTAAACAATATAATGTAACAATTAAAATTTAAAAGCTTACATGACTTAGAAAAAGGGAGAACTCAGGAAAAGAAAAGCTCTGAGGGAAAGCTAAAAATCAAATTAGAAGTGATGATTTAATAGATACTTAAATGAGTATCTATTCTCCATGTACATAGAAAAAAAACATAACATTAATTAGATCTTTAATATCACCCTAATTTTAGTTCTTATATATAAGTATATTCTCATCTATTATGTCTACCCAGGAGAAAATTTTATTCCTTCCCTTACCAAAACTGATTATTTCCATTTCCATTTCCAAAATTACCTTGTCCTTTATTTTTCTCCAAGGCAGCTGACCAACCACAAACTCCACCAACATGTAGAATAAGGACCAAAGGTCATCATGTCTTCCCATTTCCTTCATAAGCCAAACAGAATTCAATCACATTACATTACTACTCCTTTTGAGTATATTACATTGTCTAAGGCCTAACCATTGTGTTTCACCTTATTAGGCTTAAAAAGTTTAATGTATTTCCCATAAAATCTGGTAAATATATCTACCTAGCTATATAACAATCTACATAACAGAATGGATATAATGAAGTACTTTTTGCTACAAAGAAACCCCAAAACCCAGAAATGCTGGAAATGTAATTAACAGCCCGTTAATTAAGAAATGAGTTCATTAAGAAGGGAAAGTGGTTGCCAAGGGCTGGGGGAAAGGGGAAGGGTGAATCAGCATTTAGCAGGTATGGAGTTTCAGTGTTGCAAAGTGAAAAAAGTTCTAGAACTTTGTTGCACCCTAATGTGAATATACTTAACACTTCTGAACTGTGAGCTTAAAAATGGTTAATGTGGATGGTAGCTACATTGGTGAGCATAGCATAACATACATAGTTGTTGCATCACTGTGTTGTACACCTGAAACTAATGTAACACTGTGTGTCAACTATACTCAAAAAAAAAAAAAAAGGAAAGAAAAAGAAAATGGTTAACACAGTAAATTTAATGTGATACTTTTTTACCACAATTAAAAAAAAAAAGAAAGCAAATTCTAGGAGCCAAAATTAAAAGAAAGCTGGAAACAAGAGAAGCAAGCTGATGCTGAAGCTTTGGTTTTAGGGGCACCTGTTACAGGTTTTGTCAACCAGGGTTTTAACAATCAGGAAGGGGACAGGTGTAAAAGTACTGAGCCTACACAAGACAGGAGTTGTAAATGAGACACTTCCCCTTAGGCCCTCACCAAATAGCTAGGACCCTCAAAGGGCTATCTTTAGTGCAATATTTGATATGTACATTATATTGCAATAATTGTTTTTTTCTGTAAAATTTAACCACTATCAAAGGGATAAAGTAAGTGGTTAAAAAATTTGCCCAGAAAATTTGTTACTATAGGCCTGCCCCTCGCTCAGATTTGGGGTTTAAATTTATACCACTCGTGTGGTCTGGGAAACCAAATCCAGAAATTGTTTTCTGGGTGATTGTGTCCCGTAGTAATGACAGATGCAAATGAAAATCCTCTAAAGATAAAAGCACCTTTAAATTCAGGCCTCACAGAAGTCCTACAGATAAAGGCCCAGAAAATATAGGCTCATTATTCAAAAGTATAAAATACATTAGGAAGCAGGCTATCATAAGCTAATGACAACAGAAATTATACAGCAGAATTAGATATCCAAGAATTCCAGATATGGAATTATAGGATAAAGAATACAAAATTAAAATGTTTAAAATGCTTAAGCAAAAAATGGAACCATATCCTATCTAAAAAAATAAAAAGACCAGTTTGATTTCAAAAAGGACCAAAAAGAATATCTAGAAATTAAAAATTCAGTATCTATGTGGATAGGTTAGAAAGCTGATCAAAACAGCAGAAAAAAATTAATGAACTGGAAGACAGATCTGAAGAAATTATCTAGAACACAACACAGAGACAGAAAAAGAAAATCTGAGTGTGAACTTCCAGCATGGAAGACAGAACAAGAAGATCTAACGTATCAATTTGAGATATGAAAAAAGAGGTATAGAAAGAAAGGGAAAAAGGCAATATTTAAAGAAGAAATGTCTGAGAATCTTCCAGAATCTATGAAAGACATGAATGTTCAGATTTAGGAAGCACAACAAATCCCAAACTGAATAATTATAAAGAAATCCACATCTAGGCACATTAAAACTTATCTGTAGAACAGCAAAGACAAAGAGCAGATATCTAAAACAGTCAAAGAAAAAGGACAAATTAAATACAAAATCACAACAGTTAAATGGACAAAGATCTTCTCAATAGCAACCACAGAACCAGAAGACAACATTTCTTCAAATTATTGAGATAAAACAAATATTAATAAAGGACTGAAATGTAGGACAACAATGTAGTGAACAGAGTTCAAATATTTTGAAAAGTCCTATACTGTATGGGAATTACTCATGTTAAAAGTTTAACATTAAGGTACCCAAAAAATTGAAATGGAGTGTATTTTTATTTTTTTTAATTTGTGGAGATCTCTTCTAAAAGTAAAAATATATAATCTTTCTACTAGATATTTTGGAAATGCCTTTACAGCTATTATGATCTCTGGAAATGTTTATGCTTATCTCAGAAAGAGTGTCCTATCTCAAAGATTCCAATGTTGACCAAAATTTTAAAGAGAATTAGAAAGCTTAGTAATTTTAAAGGTTTTTAAGAATGTATCTGGAAAATAAGAGTACTTTCTTTTCAAGACAAGATAATTGACTAGATGCCATAAATTTTTTTAAGTTTATTTAATTTTTAGTGATCTCTACACCCAATGGGGGGCACAAACTCACAAACCCGAGATCAAGTCACATGCTCTTCTGACTAAGCCAGCCAGGCAGGCACCCTAACTGGATGCCATAATTTAATATTACACTGAATCAAACCAAATGAGCTGAAATCCTTGGCAGAGTGCTACATTATACATTGATAAAAATACTTTTCCTATTTTCAATTTATAATCATATTATTAGAAACCAAATTAACTGGAGCATAACATATTAAGACCACAGCATTCTCTTCCTACTATAGTTAGCATTAGTCAAATTTTCATTAAGGCAATTTTGGCTTCACAGAACAAGAATAAGGTAAGATCAAGAAAAGATTTCTCTTTATTTTATCAAGGAATCACACGTTAAATTTCTCACCTCCAACCAGCCAAGTTCAAGGATTGAGAATCCATAAAATACCCACCTTTCCTACTCATAATTAAGGTTCAGAATGAGAAAAAAAAAAAATCAGAGAAGCACAAAAGGAGCAAAGTTAAAAAAAAAGAGAGAGAGACTTTAAAATTTAACCCAAAAGGTATAATTTACAAAGATGAAAATTTAAAAGTAGTTTGTACTTGAGATCTTCATGAAAAGAAAAGGTTTAATGGAGAAGAGATATCACAGATTAGATGCATACTACAGATAAAATGATGACCCCTGTATTTCATTAGGTATTGAAAGTATGATATTCCCAAAAGAACTTCTTACGACTAGAACACAGATGTTTTATTTCTTCAAAATTCAATATTAAATTTGTTACTACTTATACCTAATTAAGGACACAAGGTCCCCTACACACACACACACACACACACACACACAGAGCTATTATCTTTTCTGGCAAATAAAACTTTTTTTATGCAGCTGTATACATCTATTATCTACTATACATACTATGGTACATTAGTATTACTAAGACCCTACCATCTGCTCCCAAGCACCTTCCATACTTGTGTACTCTAATGTAAAAAAGTTACTCTGATTCAAGTAATCAGCATGCTTATGTAGATATGACTCTAGTTCAGATACCTACCCTGTTTCGATGAGCATTGATTGATGCGTAACGAACTGTCCCTCGAAAGCCTGCCACAGCTCGAGGCTACAACAAAACCAAGCAAAGAGTAATAAAATAAGCTTCAAATAGCAAAAGACTCAGCACACTTGAGCCCATGAAGTAGATGGGAGAAACATGCATTACCATCACAATAAAATACTACTTAAATTTCTAATTTTTTATTGTGAAATTACAGAAAATTAGAGAATATCTCTAAATCATGTTAAAAAAACTAACATTTTTAATTATCAGTGAGTCCCATTTTTTGTACCTACATTTTAAAATAAAGTGGCATTTATGACAAATAAATCCTGTACATTAGAAAACACTAAATGCTTTCATATATCCAGAATCATGCCAAGCATTGTAGTACATACACTAATATTCAGGCTCTGGTTACATTTAATTACAGTAAGACCATAAGGAGTCTCTAAGTAAAGATGCCAACCTCTTCATGTCTTGGCTATTTCATTCAAACTCAATTCGACGATGGTGGCAACTTATATCCCTCCCTATGCATGCAATTCATATATTCATAAATCAAGTTATTGGGTAACTATTACATGCTAGGTACTGAAATAAATCCAAACATGAATAATACATGATCCCAGTTCTTAGAGAGCTCAACTTAGAATAAAGTCCAAACTCTTCTTACTTGGCCTACAAGATTTCCATGATTTGGCATTGGCCTCATTCCAAAATGGATTTACTTATGGTTTCTCCTACAACCAACTGTGTTTCTAGCTTATTCTGCTATTCTCCCCAGTGAAAAGCCATCTCTTCACATACCTCCAATGGCTAGCTCTTCTACCCCACACTAACCCCTCTGCTCAAATGTCACCTCCTCAGAAGTACTCCTTAATCATCCTAATCTAAAATACTACCCACCCCCTCAATGCCACTCCATTCTTTTTTACTCTGCTTTATTTTTTTCTCATAAAATTATTTTATTTGAACTTTTACTTATTTGTTCACTGCCTATTTTCTTCCACTGAAATATAAACTCTGTGATGGCAAGGTCTTGGTTTGCTCATTTCACAGACATAGAAACAGGCTCTGAGAGGTAACTAAATTTATCTGAACACACAGAATTAGTATGTGATAAAACCAAGCATCAACCAAGGTCTTTTGACTTAAAATCATACACTGTTTCCACTCTACTGCTTCACAAGGATCAATTCAGTACCCTAAAGACTCATGGATGGCACCACAGCTCAATATGAAAACTTAACAAACCTGAAAATGATCACAGCCAGTAATTTTCATTAGATTTTTCCCCCAGTAACTAGTTCTAATTATCTTCAATTAAGATGTATTACTTTTATAGTCAGAAAAAGACTATAACAAATGTTATTTTAAAAATCTTTAGTTACCAGAATCATTCTGGTCATATGCTGTAAGATAAACATTCTATGTGTTCTTCCTTTGTTTGATCATTTTTGTAATTTATGTGTTATCTGCTCAAATTAGTTTTCTATTTATTTCTTCTTTCATGAAATTCTGTCTTCCCTTTCTAAAAATTTTCATTTCATTTTTTTTTTTAAAGATTTTATTTATTTATTTGACAGAGAGAGAGATAGCGAGAGCAGGAATACAAGCAGGGGGAATGGGAGAGGGAGAAGCAGGCTTCTTGCCGAGCAGGAAGGCCAATGTGGGACTCAATCCCAGAACCCTGGGATCATGACCTGAGCCGAAGGCAGACACTTAACAACTGAGTCACCCAGGTGCCCTTTTCATTTCATTTTTAAGTAAGCTCCGTGCCCAGCATGGTGCTTGAACTCACAACCCCAAGATCAAGAGTCACATACTCTACTGAGCCAACCAGGCGCCCTTCTATTCCCTTTTTAATGCCTCCTTTTTGTTTTTGTCTTAAGATTTAACTATTTAAAAAATACTCTTTGTATTTAATGACAACTCTCGATAATCAAAAGTTCCTGTGATATATTTAAATCCCTTTTCTTAGGGGCCATTCATTGACAATCATAGTCAGTAGATCTCAATATTTTCCTAAGATATCACAACTAACAGGAATATCTAATATTCTCAATTTGACGGAACTTTGAGATCAGAGATTTCTTGTCTTGACAAAGAATGTACAAGATTATATATGAAAGCCTGCTATCAACCCTTTTCACTAACATTTCACTGGTTGTACTTTTATTCATTACCTGACAAGAGCCTTCCCTAACAAAAATGTTTTCATAGCATGTACTTATGCCCAGTTATTTTCATTCCAGTAACTATCAGGATAAAAATCTCCAGAGCTATTACCACACTCTGCAACCCAGTCCACGGTTAATCAGATACCTAGATGCTCCCCGATCCCAGATAGATTCTAGCCAAGACAAACCCAGGGGACTTGTTCCAGTTAAGAGTACTCCTGACTTTGCTTCTGCCATGGAAAGGTTGAGCCAGCTGTTTAGAAAGATCTTGATGTGACTCATCAAAGAAATAATGCCAGGTCAAGAAAATTCAGCCACCTTATATAAAGCAGAAAAGACAACCCAACTGGGGAAAATAGCCATATATACAACTAATTCTAATTTAAAGCAGATTATAATTAATATCATTAGCAAGGTACAATGAGCTATGAAAGCCTAGGAGTGGTAAGCATTAGTTCCCTTTGGTGAGAAGCGAAAAGGAAAAGTCCTGCTGAAGAAGAAAGTCTTAAGAATAAGGCAACACTGGGTGCCTGGGTGGCTCAGTTGGTTAAGCGACTGCCTTCGGCTCAGGTCATGATCCTGGAGTCCTGGGATCGAGTCCTGCATTGGGCTCCCTGCTCAGCAGGGAGTCTGCTTCTCCCTCTGACCCTCCCCCCTCTCATGTTCTATCTCATTCTCTCTCTCAAATAAATAAATAAAAAATCTTAAAAAAAAAAAGAATAAGGCAACATTTAATGGGGCCTTAAAATAGGTGATCTCTTGACCGTAGAGGAAAAAAGCCTCAGTTTTTCCCCACTGAAGATGATATCAGCTGTGGGTCTTTCATACATGGCCTTCATGATGTTGAAGTATGTTCCATCTATACGTACTTTGTTGAGGGTTTTTATCAAGAATGGATGCTGTATATTATCAAATGCTTTTTCTGCATATATTGAGAGGATCATATGGTTCTTATCCTTTCTGTTATTATTTTTAAAAGATATTTATTTGAGAGAAAGAGAGCATAAGCAGGGGGAGGGGCAGAGGGAGAAGGACAAGCAGAATCCCCACTGAGCGAGGAGCCAATGCGGGGCTCAATCCCAGGACCCTGAGATCATGACGTGAGCCGAAATCAAAAGTCAGATGCTTAACCAACTGAGCCACCATGCACCCCCTTCTTCTTTCTATTATTAATGTGGTGTATCATGTTGATTGATTTGTGGATACTGAACCACCCCTAGAGCCCAAGAATAAATCCCACTTGGAGGTTCTTCAAAAAGTTAAAAAGAGAACTACTCTACGACCCAGTAATTGCCCTACTAGGTATTTACCCAAAGGATACAAAAATACAGGTTCAAAGGGTTACATGCACTCAGATGTTTATAGCAGCATTATCAACAACAGCCAAACTATGAAAGAGCCCAAATGTCCATTGACTGATGAATGGATAAAGATGTGGTATATGTACACAGTGGAATATTACTTAGCCATCAAAAAGAATGAAATCTTGCCGTTTGCAACAACGTGGATGGAGCTAGAGTGTATTATGCTAAGTGAAAATAAGTCGGTCAGAGGAAGACAAATACCATATGATTTCACTCATGTGGAATTTAAGAAACAAAACAGATCAACATATGGGATGGGGGAGAAAGAGAGACAGGGAAACAAACCATAAGAGACTTTTTGTTTAAGATTATATTTATTTATTTGAAAGAAACAGAGAGAGCGTGCACAAGTGGGAGGAGGAGAGGGAGAGACAGAGAATCTCAAGCAGACTCCATGCCGAGCATGAAGCCAAGCGCGGAGCTTGATCCCACGACCCCAAGACCATGACCTGAGCCAAAGCCAAGAGTTGGACGCTCAACTGACTGAGCCACCCAGGCACCCCAACCATAAGAAACTCTTAAAGATATAACAAACTGAGGATTGACGGAGGGAGGTGGGTGGGGATTGGCTAGATGGGTAATGGGTATTAAGGAGGGCACTTGTTATGATGAGCACTGGGTGTTGTATGTAAGTGATGAACCACTGAATTCTACTCCTGAAACCAATACTGCAGTGTATGTTAACTAACTAGAATTTAAATAAAAATTTGAAAAAGAAAAAAAAATAGGTGATCTCTTGAAACCTCCCTAATTGATGGCAATCTGGCAATATCTATCAAAATTTCAAATGTATATATTCTCTTTGACAAAGCCGTTTCACTTCTGGAAAGTTATCTTACAGATATACTTGCATATGTGCAAAAATAATGGATGTATCACACTTACTCACTACATTAATGTTTGTGATAGCAAAAGACTGAAAGTAACCCATATGTTCACAAATATGTTCATAAATAGACTGATTAAATAAATTACAGTACATGCTTGTAACGGAATACACTTTGTAGCTGCAAAAAAGAATGAAGAAGCTCTATATCCTGACATGGAAAGATCTCCTAGATACACTGTGGAAAAAAGACAAGTGCAGAATGTACATCATGCTACCTTTTGAATCAAAAAGAGAAAAATGAGAATATACATTTATATGTATTATATATGCAAGAAGAAGTTCTGGAAGAATACATTAAAGAAATAATAATACAGCTACCTAAAGGTTGGAGGAAGGCATAAGAGCAGTATAGAAAATGAGTGGCTTTGGGATAGCAGGGGTGAAATAGAGATTTATTTTACTGCTTATCTGTTAATTTTTTTCAAGTCAGGCTTATTAAGGTATAATTCACACACAGCAAAATGCATACTTTAGGTATACACAGTTCTGTGAGTTTTTACAAAGGGATATAGTTATGTAACTACCACTGCAATCAAGGTATACAGTATTTCTATCGCCCCAAGAGTTCTCGTAAAGCCCCATATAGTCACAATCCCTTCCCCTCCACTCCCAGTCTCTGGCAACCTCTGA